AACAATGAGGAAAACGAATAAGGAGCAACAATAAGAGAAAAAGAAGGAAGTACAACAAATGAACTAATTTAGCGGTTCAGGGGTTTGTGAGAGAAAATGAATAAGGTAGAGAAATAAGTTGAAAAATAAGTAAGGTACAATAAAACATAAAACGAAACTACTACCCAATTGGAGAGCGGAAAACCTTAGCCCTGACCTGAGAAGCCTCCTTTCTCCTATTTTTTGGGGGGCGGTGCATAAAAACTCCACAGTAATACGGGGAATTATACTGTTTGTGTCTGACTTCGATTGTATTTTTTGAGGCCGTCAATGGAATAAAAAGATTGTCGTGAGAACTGCAAAGCATATCTTGTTTTGAAACCGGGGGCTCCTTAAAGCGAAATCCGAAAATCGTATGCTGCGCTGACTGCGTTGTGCCTCAAACTCTAGTTGAAGAGTTTCTGGCGAAGTTCTGTGCAGCAACTGGGCCTACAAGTAGAAGCGCCAATGCCAAGCCGCGGTCTCGGTTTGGCATCCCCGCACTGGCGTCGTCGAACTAACTCCACATCCATTACAATACAAGGGTCATGGTCTGACGACGCACTATGAAAAAGCATTCAGCAGTCCCTGCCTCGCTTCAGTTGAAGAAATACCGTGCTCGGGAAGTGCCCACGAACCTCGGCAGCCAAACATGCCAGGTGTGCTGTCATCAGGGAATGAGAGTTTCTGAATTGTCGTTTTGAAAAACACTCGGGGGGATGAAGTGGCGTGCAGATAGCTGAAAGAAGTCGTCTACCTTTCTGCCCATGACTCGACGAGAATCGAAACGCCGAGCCCCACCAAAATGGGGCGTGTGGAAGTGCAAACTCTGAGCAACGAGCTTGTCTCTCTCGGCAATGAGGTCTTTGACCCGTGTGAGCACCTCAGACCCAGCTTGAGGTAGCAGAACTCTTTACCAAGTATTTGAACTCAAAAAACACTCAAAAAAGCAAAAGACAAGGAGCGACTCTGAGACCTTGAGACGAAACCCTCTGAGACTTGGAACTTCAGGTTAGTTTTCTTGCTGCATGGAAAGTCAAAAACACAGTCTTTGAGTCAAGCCAGCCGTCCAAGCCCAAAGCGTAAAAGTCGCACTCGCCGTTATCATCCTGGCACGAGAAGAGAAGACTGAAGACTCCGCTCAACTGAAAGCTGTGAGCAATGGGTGGCCCGCTGGCCTCCCACTGGATCGCAATCATCTTCTTGGAGGAATAGATGACATCCACGTCGACCACCTTTTGTGGCGCGGGTGTGCCGTTTTGTACGCGGCAGGCTTGCGATTTGAACGTCGATGTGAGAGAAGCATCTCCAAGCTGGCTCTTACTTCACCATCAGCAGCAGTGAGAACCACGAAGAGTTGAGGGATTGCAGGCCGGCGGGACACCCACAGCTCACGACCCAATCACAAAAACACAAAAGCCTTTGCTCCAGTCCGTGCTACCTAACGCCCAGCTCCGGTGGGCAAAATCCCACAGCATGGATCGTGTCCCCGTTCGACAAATTTGGAGCGCGAGACTTCGGACTTTAGTTTATTTCTGAGGTTCAAAGTGGCGGGTTTAAGGTTAAGGCCTGGCTGACTGCTGTATGCCCTTGGAATCTGAAGAGCTTGACCACATCCAAGACGTGACAGGCTCTTGAGACTCGTTCGAAGCAACTTGGCAAATGAAGACTACTTCCAGAACCCCTTGCACGGCTGCATTTTCGATGTGGAAGCGGCACTTCAGTGTGGGCCACATGGTCGTTGGCGTGTCCTGCCTAATGCATGTGCGGCTGTGTCGGGCAATGGCAACACCCCATTGACAAATGCGCGGCGAGGGTGTGATGTCGGGATTGTACGACACGCAGTCGGGGTGAGAGGGGTGACCCACATCCGAACGAAGTGAATGACGCACCCTGTCTGGCTCACCACGCGCTACTCCATGATCTGCTGATACCCTCTTTCTTTCGGTCAGCGGTCGACGGGTGCATGAGCCTTTCCATGGACGTTGTCATCGGCAGCCCCGTGTCTGTGAATGAAGCAACTCATACACTGGTTGCCCGAGTTGTGGTGGTGGCTCGATCATACGGATCAGTGACTTTCTGTTGGCTGAGGGCCCGGGCCATCTTCTCCTTGCCCTCCCGGAACTCGAGATCCTTGCCTCCAGGCGGACAAGCAAGCAGCCGAGCAGTGTCTGCAGCAGATTTGCCTTTAAGCCTTTTCTGTTCCGCAAAGTATGGCCTTCATCGGTCTTCATCTCGGAGAAGGTGATCTTTAGCCTCGGGATCGGCTGCAGAGAAGTGCGCACAGCGAGGGACCGGAAGAAAGACTAACCAGTATCTTTCGCAGACAAGTGGCCGGTTCGTACCAGAGATGGCGTACTTGCCCCGAAGGCCTGAGCGCGCCAAGGCCAAGAGGTGACAACGGCAGCCTTCAAGAGCTGAACTAGCTGCTAGCTGAGAAGCTCCACAGCCTCGAGTCAGCCGAAGCTGAGGCCGGCACAGTTTGACTGGTTGGGGAAGGGGCCGACCTTTCCTTGACAGCCGTGCGGCTCGTGCCTAAGACCCCTCACCTTCTCAAGCACAAAAGAAAGAACGCAGACTCAGAGGTTCATGTCTGCTCGCTCTTCGGAGCATGGAAATACAAAGCCGTCATGAGAGGCTGAGCAAAATGTCTAGAGGCAAGATTGATGATGTACTCAAGGTTTCCGGAATCGTGAAGCCGTGTGTCGAACGATCTCGATGGCCTCGCAAACTCGACCTGGCCAAGAACAACGTGGAGGTGCGATCGAGCTCAGGGAAAAAATCCAGGAGGCTGCTTCGGGCGGACTCACACAAGCTTCTGCCAGCTCGCATGGAGAAATTGAGAAAGGCCCCGGAACAGTCGTTAAACGCCAACTCAGCACAGCAAGGAAGACGTCGCATGGCAACACAGAGCGGGCCTTCCTTCTTCTTTCCGAAGCGAATAAGGTATTCCTGGCGAATGCTGCACGAACATCGTGGACTCGCCCGCGAATCCCGATCCCAATGCGTTCAGCTGCAACCACAAGTTACCCCAAGACATGGACTTTCAATTCGATGAGCAAGTCTCCTGCAGCTGCATCCACCAGCCCTCGTCAGTCATGCCGGTGCCGAAGAGCTTGTCGATGCCTCGCACGTCGGCCGCGTCGTGCTGGCTTGGGACTCTGTTTCGAGGTGTCCGTCCACACTCCTGCTTATCTTCGAGACCGCGAGCGCTCAAGAGCCAGACATCCTAGCCTAGGCCCCTCATCTGGGCCACCCGCAGCCCTCTCGAGAGGCCCAGAAGATGATCCAGTCCTTTGTCTGAGGCTTCAGAGATATTCCGCTGCCTTGCCAAGAGCGTCTTTGCTGGGACCCCGGCACCGGTAAGAGTCTGGTTTGGCCTGGGGTTGGTCTTCGCCAGGCGCATGAGGATCTCGCGCACCTCAGGGGAGCACGTCAAGGCTTGGGCTGGGGGCGGCTTGGGCAACCGGGCCTTGTAGATATCCGGCTCGTCCATCCGCGCGAAGAGGGTTTTCAGAGCACCCCTTGGCAACGTGAGAGATGGCTCCACATGCAGCCAACGTCTGCAGGAGTAAGGCAAGGAAGAGCACAAGACGAGGGTAGACTGTCACTATTTATTCAACTTGACAAACAGGTCCCACTTTGGGGCACGACTCGATATTCAGCTGTGTTGAAGTATGCCAAAAACTGAAAGGGGGTGGTGAGTTGTCAGATATGGAAGGGATCGAAATCTCCGAATCCAAAGGTCCGCGCATGACAGCATTCGGAATCCCATGAACTCCGATCAGAGCCCCGGGGCCCGTGCTCCATCATCTCGATTTCCATTTCTCGCATCTTCTTGCGATTCTTCCTTTGCAGTTGGCCACTTCACTTGCCAGAAGCGCTCCATTTTTGAGAGTGCAGTGCGGAGGCGGAAGAGCCGATGTTGTGGCGGCCCTTTTCAAAAAGCCATGAGCTTCTTTCTGAATCGTGGAACAGGACAGCTAAACTGACAGTAGAAACTGCATGCAACCCAGAAGCATGTCTTATGGCCCACGCAAACCTACTCCTTGCAGCGACGACCCCTGAAACCCTCGCCCTGGCTTCTCAGCACCACAAGTCCATGAATCTGGGGCCACGGCTTCAGCAGACCTGCCTCGGCTCCCATACCGACGGCCTAGGATGGGCAAGAACACACCCGGACCTTGTGGGCCCTGCAGCTCACTGTTTCTGCCTGGAGCCTTCTGCTTTGCAGGTGGAAATCAAGAGTTTCAAGTTCATTGAGGCAAAGACCCTCACACGGGTGCGGACCAGGACCCCGACACTGGTTGCCACGGTCTCTCGAGAGTTCCTTCGTGACCTGGCAGGGGTGCAAGGGAGCTCAGGCTTTCTTTTCCGGCTCGAGTGAAAGGTGCGAAGCGCTCAACGGCGTCGCCTCCTCACCCCACTCGCCACAAGAACTGTGGCGGCCGCCGCGAGTGCCGACGGCAAGCCTGACTTTGCTTGTCTCGTGGGGTGTGACGGCTGAGGTGGATGCATCCTGGCTCACTCAGCGCATAAAGTCTGCCACAAAGCCACGACGGCCCGATGTATGCGCTTTCGCCCCCTAACTTGACACGCCTCGCTCCGGAGCTTTGCGGGTTGCCCGTGCCGGAGTTGAGGCAAGCCTGTGCGGCGAAAGCTTTGTGAGTTCTGAAACTTGAAACTTCCGTATGAGGAAACCCATCCTCCGCTCGAAGTCTACATCCTTCTACGGCACACCCAGAGCGAAATGCCAACCTGGGCTTCAAGCCAGCTCTAGACATGCACCGACATGAGAGGCATGCTCGACCCATCCTCGCAACAGGCAGTGCTGTTGGCGCTGGACCCAAGGTAAATGCCTGGCAGCCCAAACGAAAGCGGTGACAAGGCTGCGAAAGAGAACGAACTTCTGCGAAGAACTTGAAGTTCCAGGAGCCCCAGCCTCGGCGAGGAGCGCCATGGCGGCGGTCAAAGCTGCGGCCCGGCGGGGCGGTGACTCGGTGACTGCTTCTTCAGGTGTTGAGGCTGTGGATGCTGAGATTGCGCTCCTTATGCCTGGACGTGATTTGCCCTTGGCACTGGTCTGTCTGTCTGTGATTGCAGGCATGGCTTTCGTGTGCTAGACAGAGACCACGTGCAAACAAGCCCGGGATTTCTGAAACGTCCAGTCTCAAACCACCTGTCACTTCATGTCGCAAGCCTACAAGTTTCTGATGCAGCAAATCACTCAACCAGTCATCTCGACTCTCGACCGGTTTCCAGATCCCAGATTCCCCCCAACGGGCTCAGGGTACGAATCTACTTGTAACTCCAAGAAAGAACCGACCTGGTCAAGCCCCGACCCTTCTTTTTTTGTGTCGGCCCACTGCACTCGACCGGCTGTGGAAGCAATCGCCGGCAAGCCTTCAGAGCTTTGCCCTGGGCTGCTCGGAGCGCGGCTCACTGCAGGACAGGCTGTTGCGAGTCGCCACGAGATTCTGAAAGCTTGTCGCTCTGGTGATTCTGCTAGGGTGGGGGGCAGCAAAAGGCATAAGTCACACTGTCCATAAAGCGTCAGGTGTCGAGGATGCTCGCACACCACTGACCTGCGTATCCTGCGGAAACTAATCGTCAGTCTCCTTGCGCAGGAGATCTCCTTAATCTGCAGCGAACGTCGCTCGAAAGCGAATAATCTACATGTCTTCCTACCGGGAAAAAGGAAACCAAACCATCTGCTGGATTTAGCCGGGCTCTGTGGCAGAAGGGCGTGAAGGCATAGCCATCCGCCTTGTAGAACTTGCTTTGGAACTCTACCTCAAAAAGGCAAGCAAGCTCCAAATGCTACTGCTACTTGTAGCGATGCAGCGAGCTCTCCAAACCAGCTCTCCGTGAGCTCTCAGGACAAAGTCTTCACAAAGCCATCGCCCGAGCCCCAGCCCCCTTCAAGACGAGTTCTTCTCTGCGGGCGGAGCCACCCAGTGGAGGCGCAGAGTGTGCAGGAAGCACTCCTCAGACAGAGGCGAGGCCTTGGAGCCTGGCCTGGGAGTTTCAGGCTCTGTTCGCCGAGGTTCCATGACGTCCATGCCCAGCAAGATGCCCACAGTCGAGGCGAACCAGAAGTAGAAGGCCACGTAGGTGGCAATGATGTTCCTGATCTCACACACTTCGTCAGCAGAGCTGTCTCTACGAGTATTCGAGATTCGAAGCCTGCTGCTTCGAAGACTCCACCCCGATTGAAGACCTCCACTCTGCGGCTGGGGCACAGCGGGAAGGGTGCTCCCATCCCAGAAAGCAGCGTCATCCCAAAGAAGACCAGGGAGAGCCTCAGCTTGGCCAAGCTCGGGGCCCCGAGCGAGAAAGGCTTCAATTTTGGGGTGTGCTTTTTCCTCTCATCAACCTCATTTCCCCGGCCCGGAAACTGCTGGTGCGCCAGGGAAAGCGCCCAAAGCCGGAGGTAGGAGGCCGTGTGCGACACCGTTCCCAGGACGTACTCGATGGTCTCGATCACCTTCCGACAGCCGGGATCAGACTCCCCTCCAGCTCTTCATCTTCTTCTTCTCTCTTCTTCTGTCTTAGACTTGTTTGATGGTCGAAAGTGAGCTGAGCTCCATGGAAGGCGGTGCTTTGGAGCCGGCCTGGTGGATGACGCATTCGGTGAGGTCGAACTCCTCTACCTCTTCCTGGAAATGGAGCTTGCGCAACACGAAAACGGATATTCAACAGGCCCCCATCAGCAGATGATGCGCACATGCTATCTGTATTTCAAAAGCTGGATCACAACTCAGCTAAATCAAGTCTTAGTCACAAATAACGCAGAATTCATCAGAAATGCCCCGACGAGCGCCTATAATCTTACCAGTAGTTAGTTCCAAGTTCTAACCCAGGCACCGAACTGTGTCCAGGTTATGAGCTGTTGACCGTTCACTGTGGCTTGGAGGAGGTTGTGTGGTTTGTGCGCAGGTAGGGTCTAGCCCTTCTGACCCCGGAGGGCAGGAAGAGTTGTAAAATCTAAAACCGCAATGAATGCTCTAGAGAGGAAGACCTACGGCGGATAACAAAAGCTAAAAAATGTGTCTAGGTCTGCAGGAATATAGTTCCAAATCTTGAACAAGTCGTCCCACGAAGGATTGGCAACGAAACTCCCCAACGCCCTGCTTCCTTAATCCCGAAAACCGTACGCCATGGGAAGACCGTCGCCCTCGCCCCAGCTGCGGGGCGAGGGGATTTTCCTCGAGTCCTCGGGCCTCGTCCTCGGACCTCAACGATTCCTCGTCACTGAGCCGCATGTGCTCACCTCCGGCAGATTGTTTCAGCTCCGAGCCCAGGTTCCCAAACTACCACGAGAACTTGAGAACTTGGTGCATGTTTCCACTGGGATGGGTTACGGTACCCTCCGTGACGATCTGACTTCTTCATTCTCTGATCCGTCGAGCCATGCAACCGCCTTCAACCTCCTGTGCCTTCTTCCCCTTCCGTCCCCCTGTTGCCCTCTCGGTTCCCCGCTTCCGAAGCCGTGGAGGCCGCCCGGGCCCATGCATGGCGGAGGGCGGCTGGCCTGCAGGAGCTCAAAACACAGCGGGGTGGGGGTGGGGTGACGGATCAAAAGAATTAATTTTGGATAAAAAAAATTAAAGCACAAAGATAAAAAAATTGAAAATAGGATCAGAAAAAATAAATCAGTACTTCGGCCACAGAATCACACAAAAAACAAGGGGTGATCGAGGGTGACGGATCAAAAAATTTAAATTTGGATCAAAAAAAGCACAACGACTCAAAAAATTAAAAACAGTATCAAAAAGGTTAAATCAGTACTTCGCTTTTGCACCCCTAAAGCGATGTCATGTGTCTCGACAAGTTAAGAAAGCGGGCAGTTCATGTGGCTTCTGCCTCTCTTCGTTCTCCAAAAAGACCCACGTTGTCGTTTTACCTTTGTTTTCTTGTTTCTTGCTCTTGGCTTCCCAAAGCGAATACATCAAGCTTTCGCCTTTTTGCCTGTCGGTGAAGACGTTTCATTCATGAGAAATCTTCTATTCTTCGAAATTGAAATTCACTGAAGCGTTTTCATGTGGATTTGTCCTTGTTGTGCGTTTAGAAAAAACGTCTTTAATTCATTTCATCGACAGCTTAAGAAAGCGGGCAGTTTGCAGTTGAAAAACGGGGGGGGTTGGGGGGGGGCAACCTTCCAACACGAACTTTGTTTTGCTCGCTTATACCCCCCTTAAAGCGATTTCATGTGGCTCTCCCTCTCTCCGTTATCCAAAGAGATGCGCGTTTTCGTTTTACTTTGTTTTCTTGGTCTTGCCCTCCCAAAGCGAGCACGTCTGGCTTTCGCCCTTTTGCCTGTCGGTGAAGACGTTTCATTCGTGAGAAGAAAAGGGGGGTTGGGGGGGCGGCGCAGACCCCCCCATTTGCAAACCTTCCAACATGAACTTTGTTTTGCTCGGTTTATCCCCCGTAAAGCGATTTCATGTGGCTCGACAACTCAAGAAAGCGGGCAGTTTGCAGTTAAACAAGCCGGGGGGTTGGCCCCCCAATTTGCAAACCTTCCAACATGAGCTTTGCTTTGCTCGCTTTCTGCCCCCCTTAAAGCGATGTCATGTGTCTCGACAAGTTAAGAAAACGAGCAGTTCATGTGGCTTCTCCCTCTCTTCGTTTTCCAACGAGACTCACTTTGTCGTTTTACCTTTGTTTTCGTGTTTCTTGCTCTTGGCTTCCCAAACCGAATACATCTGGCTTTCGCCCTTTTGCCTGTCGGTGAAGACGTTTCTTCATGAGAAATCTTCTATTGTTCGAATTTGAAATCCCCTGAAGCGTTTTCATGTGGCTTTGTCCTTGTTGTGCGTTTAGAAAAAACGTCTTTAATTCATTTCATCGACAGCTTAAGAAAGCGGGCAGTTTGCAGTTGAAAGACCGGGGGGTTGGGGGGGGCGCAGGCCCCCCCCAGTTGCAAACCTTCCAACACGAACTTTGTTTTGCTCGCTTATACCCCCCTAAAGCGATTTCATGTGGCTCCCCCTCTTTCCGTTATCCAAAGAGATGCGCGTTTTCGTTTTACTGTGTTTTCTTGGTCTTGCCCTCCCAAAGCGAGCACATCTGGCTTTCGCCCTTTTGCCTGTCGGTGAAGACGCTTCATTCGTGAGAAGAAAACGAGGGGGTTGGGGGCCGGCGCAGACCCCCCCATTTGCAAACCTTCCAACATGAACTTTGTTTTGCTCGGTTTATCCCCCCTAAAGCGATTTCATGTGGCTCGACAACTCAAGAAAGCGGGCAGTTTGCAGTTAAACAAGCGGGGGGGTTGGGGGGGGCGCAGCCCCCCCAATTTGCAAACCTTCCAACAAGAGCTTTGCTTTGCTCGCTTTCTGCCCCCCTAAAGCGATGTCATGTGTCTCGACAAGTTAAGAAAGCGGGCAGTTCATCCTTCCTTCCTTCCTGCTTTTCTCTTTCCTTCCCTTTCTCCTTCCTTCCTTCTTTCCTTCCTTCCTTCTTTCCTTCTTCCCTCCTTTGCTCCTTCCCTCCTCCCTTTCGTGCTTCCCTCCTTCCTTCCTTTCTTCCTCCTTCCTTCCTTTCTTCCTTCCTGTCGTGGTTTCGGCTAGGTTAATTTTTTTTGATCCAAATTTATTTTTTTTTATGCCTATCCCGTGGGGGTGGGTTGTTCTGGGGAGGTCTGGGCGTCCGTCGACCCGAGGGCTTTCAGGGCTCTGGTCGGTTTCGACGGGTGAAGGAAGCTTGGGGAGCTTTGCAAGCGCCTTGTGCCGCATGTTCAAGATGACCGGCTTTGGAATCCTCGGCATCGGCATCAGAGCCGCGACACAACACCCTGCGGCAGGCAATCCATGCGGCCCGGTTGCAGCATGAAGGGCACCGCCAACATACAAGTTCCCATCAGCAGCTTCCTCGGCCGACTGGGCTTCAGACGCTTTGTAACACAGCCGGGGTGCGATGCACCTCGGGCTTCCCAGCCTCCATCTAAAATCTAAACCG